CAGGAAGCTCCCAGGAGGCCCCAAGAGTGCCCCAAAGGCTCCCAAGATGCCCCCTCCTCTTACTCCTCCACATTCTCCTCCTCCTCCTCCTCCTCATCATCATCATCGTCATCGTCATCGTCATCATCATCATCATCATCATCATCATCATCATCATCATCTCATCATCATCATCATCATCATCATCATCATCATCATCGTCATCATCATCATCATCATCATCATCATCATCATCAGCATCACCATCACCATCACTATCATCATCATCATCATCATCAGCATCGTCAGCATCATCAGCATCATCATCAGCATCATCATCATCATCGGCATCATCATCATCATCGTCATCATCATCATCATCAGCATCAGCATCATCATCATCATCATCATCAGCATCATCATCATCATCATCATCATCACACCATCACCACCACCACCACCGCCACCACCACCACCACCATCATCATCATCATCATCATCATCATCATCATCATCATCATCGTCATCATCATCATCATCATCCGCCTCCTCATCCTCCTGCTCCTCCTGCTGCTGCTCCTCCTCCTCCTCCTCCTCTTCCTCCTCCTGGTCTTCCCTGGCATCCTCCCCCAAACGTTCCCCGAAGGGTTTCCACAACGGTTGGGGGAACACATGGTCCGATAGCTTGGCAAAGCTCTTGCCACAGCGCTCGGCCACATGGGCGATTTCGAAAGACAGGGGGCGGCGGTGATTCGTCGTAGGCGTCTTCGATCCGCCGCCCCCTGCGGTCTTGCCACAGGGGTGTCCAGCGTGCTAGGCGCTAGGCCCTACGTTTGGTGTGGCTCTTGTTATAAAAAGAACTCTCCTGGGGCTTCGGCCCGTTCTGCGGGTCACCCGGGAGGGCGCCAAACAAGTATTTGGCAATGCTGTTCTTGCTACAAGATGGCCCAAGATGGCTTCTAAGACGGCTAAGATGGCCCGAGTTGGCCTCGAAATTCGCCCAAACTGGTCCAAGATGGCTTCCAGGACAGCCCAAGAGGATCCAAGATGCCTCCAAGTCCGTCCAAGAAGCTTTCAAGACGGCCCAAGAGGTCCTCCAGGAGGGCCCGAAGAGGCTAAAATCAGTGATGTTTCGTTTGGTGGTTGAAGGGTCTTCATATTTGCTCCTTTTTCGGCCTTCCGACGCCCAAGACGGCCCAAGACGGTCCACAAGATCACCCCCAGACCGCCCAAGAGGCCTCCAAGATGGCCTCAGGACGGCCCATGAGGCCTCCAAGACGGCTCCGAGAGGACCCCAAGAGGGCCCCAACATGGCCCAAGAGGCCCTCCAAGACGGCCCAAGACAGTCCAATATGGCCTCCAAGACGCCCCAAGAGGGCCCAAGATGCTCACAAGTCCGCCCAAAAAGCCTCCAAAACGGCCCAAGACGGCCCAGGAAGCCCCTAAGAAGCGTCCCAGACGGCCCATGAGGCCTCCGAGGGGTTCCTAGGAGGACCTGGCGGGGCAGGTATAATGGGTTGTCCTTAAACGTTGTGTCAATGATTTTGGGATGTGTTTCTTTTCGGCCTTCCGACGGTTCAGAACGGCCCAAGAGGCCCCCAATATCGCGCCAAGATGGCCCCGAGGGCCTCCAAGATGACCCCCTGACGGCCCAAGACGCCTTCAAGGCGGCCCAAGAAGCCTCCAAGTTCGCCCGAGATGGCCTAAGATGCCCTCCAAGACGGCCCAAGAAAGCCTCAGGTGGCCTCCAAGACGCCCCAGCAAGGCCCAAGATGCTTCGAACTCTGCCCAAGAAGCCTCCAAAACGGCCCGAGACGGCCCAAGAAGCCCCTGAGAAGCGTCCAAGACAGCCCAAGAGGCCTCCAAGAGGTTCCTGACCCGAAGTGGCCAGAATCATTGATTTCTCGAAATGGTTGAAGGATGTATGCCTTTGGACCTCTTCGGCATTCCGACGGCCCAAGACGGCCCAAGAGGCCCACAAGGTCGCCCCAAGATGACCCAAGAAGCCTCCAGGATGGCCACATAACGGACCCAGAGGCTCCCAAGAGGGCCCCAAGAGGGCTCCAAGACGGCCCGAGGGGCCTCCAAGACGCCCAAGCTGGTTTCCGAGACGGCCCCGAAGCGCTCACAGAGGGCCTCAAGTCGGGCTCCGACGGCGTCAGACGGGTCAGGAACGCCCTCAGACGGCCCAAGAGGCCCCCAAGAAGTCTCCGAATGCCCCCAATAGGCCCAAGGAGGACCCCGAGAGGCCTCCAAGAGGCCCCTAAGAAGCTTCCAGTGAGCCCCAAAAGGCACCCAATAGCCCTCATCCTCCTCCTCCTCCTGCTCTTCCTGCTCCTCCTCCTCCTCCTCCTCCTCCTCCTCCTCCTCCTCCTCATCATCATCATCATCATCATCATCATCATCACCACCACCACCACCACCACCACCACCACCACCACCATCATCATCATCATCATCATCATCATCATCATCATCATCATCATCATCATCATCATCATCATCGTCATCGTCATCGATCATCAGCATCATCATCATCATCATCAGCATCATCAGCATCATCATCATCATCGTCATCATCATCATCATCATCATCATCATCATCATCTTCATCATCATCATCATCATCATCATCATCATCATCATAATCAGCATCATCATCATCATCAGCAGCAGCAGCAGCATCAGCATCATCATCATCATCATCATCATCATCATCATCATCATCATCATCATCATCATCATCATCATCATCATCATCATCCCACGCGCGTTCCCCGAATACCCTCCTGACCAACTCGGGGAACACGTGGTCCAATCTCTAGGCCAAGCTCTGGCTACCACGTTCGGTCACAGAGGCGCCTTCTCCGATAGATAGGCCAAGCTCTCACCCTACTTTCGGCCACATAAGCGTTTCCGGAAAGGCGATGACAATTGACGATATCATCCTCATCCTCATTCTCACTCTCGTCTTAACCATCATCCTCCCCCCTCTCCTGATCCTCCTCCACTTGCTCCCCCCACACGTTCCCTGCAGGCTTTCCAATACGACTCGGGGAATAACTGGCCCGATAGCTTGGCCAAGCTGTAGCCAAGCTGTGGGCCACACAGGCGCTTCCAAAAGGGCAGGCGGCGGCGGTGATTCGCAATAGGCGTCTTCGATAACGCCGACGTCTCAATACGCGCTGATGACTCCCATCCGCCCCCGCATGATGCTCCCAGATGCGCCAAGCCAGCGCCCAGACGAACCGACGCGACTCTGATATATCACATTATGATAGAAAGGGGGCCGGCGGCAGGGGGCGAAACCCTTACGGATAAAGTGTGAGGTACTATCAGTCGGGAGACGTTTTGCTGTAGCTGGGGGGCCAGGGCGGGGGTTTAATTTGAGACAGAAGATTTTCCCGAATAGAAACAAGGTGAGAGTCCCTGGGGGGGGCACTTCGATTGAAAAATACAACGTGCACTGGTGGGGGGATCCACCATAATTTCTCTTGAAGAATGGAAGTTCAGCATCATTAGCAACATTAACATTAACCCCAACATTAAATCAACATCAACATCAACATTACCATCACCATTACCGACCACCACCATGATCGTAACAATCGTTATCGTCATCCTCGTCGGTCTCAGCAGAATCGCGGTCGAATTCGTAATTACCCCCAGAATCATCAGCCCATCATCGTCGCCAGTCGTTTCATAATGTACACCACTACACCACCCTCACAGGTATCATCAGCAGCACCATAGTCATCATCGTTGTCGTCAGCATCGTCCCATTCATCCTGCTCATCCTTCTCCTCCTCCCCTCATTCTCTTCACTCCTGCCCCTCCTTCCCCTCCTGCTGACCTCTCCTCCCCTTCCTACCATTCCTCCTTATCCGCCTCCTTCCGTTCTCTCTCCCACTCCTCCTCCTCCTGCTCCTCCTCCTCCTCATCCTCCTCCTGCTCCTCCTCATCCTCATCCTCCTCCTCCTGCGAATAATCATCCTGCGCTTGCCCATGCTCCCTCCTGCTCCTCCTCTTCCTGCTCCTCGCCTCCTCCTCCCTCGTGTTCCTCGATCTCGTTCTCCTTATTCCCCCTGTTCCTCCCCCTCCATCTCATGCCCAGCCACCCTGGCACAATTGGAAACAAACTTCTCGAATTGCCAGTTGCTGAATTACTTCGTCCATAAATCAGAGCGCAAATCCGCTTGTCCCCCTTGCGGGAGCAATCAGGCTACAAGGCTCAGGCTTCAACATCTGAGAACCACAGTTCTCACTAGTGAAATTAGGCAGTTCACAACTTTGCATTCCACCTAACAACCCCAACGACCATGATTTGCAAGCCACCAGCTGTCAGAGCACAGAACTGCTCTGTTTCTCTGACCGGAGAGGTCATGGGTTGTTGAACACGCGCGCAGCCCTCCCCCTCAGCCCCGAAAGGACGGCATTGCCACGCCAGGCCACGGCTCCTCAGCACGAATGCCCTGGAACACGTAAAAACGAGTGATCCGCTCTGCCAGAGCCACGACTAGGAGACAGTGGCTCTGAGCTCCCAGGGCCGCGACCCCTCGAAACAAATCTGGCAGCTGTGCACCTAAGCTCGACGGGGCCATGACCTCCTGCCGACATCGTGGCCTCGCGCTCGACGGGGGAGGAGGAGAGGAGGAAGGAGGAGAGGAGGAAGGAAGGAAGGAAGGAAGGAACGCGGGGCGCTGCCTCTTCAAAACGAGGACCCAACACCGCAGGATGGTTGGAAAACATCCGTCAGCTGTGCACCCCAGCTCGACGGGGCCACGATTAGGTCGGGCATGTCCCCCTGCAAGCGCATGTTGGACGAAAAATAAAGTATAGTGAATAAATACTCCAAAATGACCAAAAATAGTCAAAAATCGTCCCCAGACTATTTTTGACTATTTTTGAATACTCCGCCTGTAGAGGGACAGGCCCGACTGAAAGCCAGGGCTCCATGCACAGAAGCGATCCCGAAGCCCGACGGGCCGTGCGGCCGCGGCGGTGGCCGCGCCGGGGGCCGCCTCGCTCGCAGATGGCGGCGTCCCCCATCGTCGCCCAGGGGGCCGCCCCCGCGCGGGGGGCCCCGGCGGCGCCGCCGCGCGCGCCCGCCTGGGGTGCCCGCGGCCCGCGGCGACGCGGTACGCTCGCCTAGGGCGCACAAAGACATACGAGTGCTACAGTCAAAAATCCTAAGAAGGACGCGCGGTAAGGACGCAAGACCCTTGGAAGCCGAAGTTGGGATTTTGTTTGGGCGGCGGACGACGGAAACCTCAAGGACGCAAGAGCAAGGAAGAGCAAGGACGCAAGGGCACCCTGAGCAAAGTCGCGCGTCCTTATTAGGGTGTTTGACTGTATGCGAGGCGGGGATGTCTCCATATCCACCGCCCGGAAACGGACGTCCTGGTGCCCCAGCGGGCGGTGGATGTGGATACATGTTGGCCCCTGGGGGCCCGGATATGTCCAGATCCACCGCCTGCCGAGGCTCCGAAAACTGACGGACCCTCCAGGCGGTGGTCATGTAAGAATTCCCGCCTCGGATACTAGATGTTCTCGTTGGAGGCGCGCGTCCGACACAAACATGTAGCATGCCCATCTTGAAGTATATCGGTTCCCGAGCGGTGTGGCCAGAAAGCGCCCGCCACGACGCACATACTACATACTATATGATTTCTCGGTGCGCGCATCGCCCCCAGGTGGGCGACGCACATGTAGTACAAGTATGATGGGGTGACGCCGATCTCTCTTCTCTCTCGGCTTTCCCCAAACTCGGTCAGCATCGAATCGGGAAATCGGATCGCATCGGAATCTGCATCGGATCGGAGCGCATCGACACTCGGTCGGAACCGGATCGGATCGGTTGCGCCAGAATGTACAACAGCGCCATGCAAGTGTCAGGCCGCACTGGATCGCGCGAGAATCCGAATCGAATCAAATCGGAACGCTGGAGCCGATATCGGGAGCGGTCGGAACGAAATGGACCCTGTTATCTGAGCGTCAGTGTCTTACGAATTTGATGAAGCCAACATGCGTAGTCAGCGTAATACACGCACAGGCAAGCCAGTGAGAGGGCAACCACGGGGCCGCCGTCGCGGTCGCACGCGCGCACGCGTGTCTGTTCAAGGACACATGCACCCAGACGCCTTCAGATGCACATGCACATGCAAAACACATTCGTATGCAGAACAGACAATACGTACACACACACATGCATGGACATGCGCGTATCCGACAGCCCCCTTGCTGACACCAGTCTGTGAGACTCCCTGATGGACTTGAAGGGAAATTAGGACACACAAATAAATACACACAAATAAAACTATTCCCGATTTTTTCCCATATTTTCTGGGTTTTTGTCTTCCCCCCCACTTCCCATATTTTTGCATATTTTCTGGGGAATCGCAGATTAATTGTGTCTGTGTGTTTTTTCCCCTCCTGAGGACTGATGTTCTGCTGATATCTCAGATCATCGGACTTATCTCGTCCTGTCTCGTGTCTCGAGTCGGTTGTCTTTCCAGCCCTGCTTCCTTGCGTGAGGTGCCGAGTGGTGCGCCCTCAGCTCCCTGGCTGCTGCAGCCCCGAAGACTCACGCAGGTGCGCAACCAGGCGGTCAAGAAACCAAAAAGCTCTCAGGAGCGCCACGAGAGGACCCAAACAGACCCCCGAGAGACCACAACACGCACCAGGAATGCGATATCAAGACGCTCCAACACGGCGCCAATAATCGACGGCGAGGGGCAAAGCAAGTTCCGATCAGGCAAGCACAGAAGAAACACCGGATTCCCAACCCTCCTGTGAAGCTGGCTTCTCGCATTCTCTCTGCCGCGCCACTCGTCTCACCCCTCGTTCCTCCTCCTCCTCCTCCTCCTCCTCCTCCTCCTCCTCCTCCTCCTCCTCCTCCTCCTCCTCCTCCTCCTCTCCAAGTATTCCCCCTCCTACCGCTGCTGCTGCGCTGCCTGCCCCATTTGGCGGCGCGCACAAAGGGGTGGGGGGAGGGGGGAGAGCTTCTTAGAAGGAGGCTGCTCCTTAGAAGGCGCCGGCCTTGCATCTACAGACGAGGCTTCGCCTTCCAACAAGCAGGGGTGCTTCCAAGAAGCCTCCACCCCTCCCCCCACCCCCCTCTGCGCGTGGCTCACGCATGCTGATGCCGCTGCTGCTGCCGCTGCCGCTGCCGCTGCCGCTGCCGCTGCCGCTCCCAACCGCTGGTGCGCGCGTGGCCGTGTGGGTCCGCCCCCCCTCACGCACTGCGCGCCCCCCCTCGGGAAGCCCCCCTCCAGGAGGCCCTTGCGGGCGCAGGTCCGCGGACACTGCGGCCGCAGGCGCCCTCCCGAGGACCGAACAAGGGGCAGCTCGGGGGGGTCGATCATGAAGTGGCCAAGGGACACACACACACACACACACACAAAAAAAAAAAAAAAAACAAAAAAAAAAAAAAAAAAAAAAAAGATCCCAGGATCCCCCTAATTTCCAATGCTTTCTGGGTTTTTGTCTTCACCCCAGCTTCCCAGATTTTCCCATAGGCTCCTGGGAGTCGACGATGAATCGTGTCTCTGTGTGTTTCTCTCCTGAGATCAGACCTCCGACCTCGCACAACTGGCGAGGACGAGTCTCTGCGGATCCGGGGAGCCACCCCCCCTGCGCGGTTTCCCCTGGGGTCGTAGGCGACCGGAGGAGGAGGACGAGGAGGAGGAGGAGGAGGAGAAGGAGGAGGAGGAGGAGGAGGAGGAGGAGGGAGGGAGGAGGACGGGTCGCCTAAGCCCTTCGGGGAAACCCTCCACCCACCCACCCCTGGCGCGCCACCGCCCACGGTGCGCGCCGCAACTCGCCAAGACACTGCACGCAGGTGGCCCTGGGCGATGGGTGACATCTAATGGGAAGGGACGGAGGGCCACCCTCACAGGAGTCCTGCTATCGGGAGCGGCCAAGAGGGGGGTGTCCAAGAGGGGGGGGTGCAAATCATGACCGGCGGCATGTGCGCGGCCCAGCGGGGGGGCCAGGGACGTAATGGAATAAGAAGAGGCGCCATGAAATCTGGGGAAATATCATGGTCCCCGCCATGATATCCACCCCCTCCTAGTCATCACCCCCCTCTTTGCCGCTCCCGGTAGTGGGCGCACCCAAGGGAGCAGCCGGGCAAAGGAAGGCTCAGAGTGCACGAACACGCAGGGCCGTCAGGGAGCTGTCTGAGGAGGAGGAAGAGGAGGAAAAGGAGGAGGAGGAGAAGGAGGAGGAGAAGGAGGAGGAAAAGGAGGAGGAAAAGGAGGAGGAGGAGGAGGAGGAGAAAGAAAATGAGGAGGAGGAAAAGGAGCCACGGAGCTCGGGGTGCTGCTCTCCCATCGACTGCGGTGCGCGGCTCGCCGATCGTTGCACGCGATATAGGACAGCAGCGGCACACGAGCTTGGGCTTGGCCCTTCCCGTGGGCCCCGAAAGCTGCGAACCCCTCCTCCTCCTCCTCCTCCTCCTCCTCCTCCTCCTCCTCCTCCTCCTCCTCCTCCTCCTCCTCACTCCTCTGCATGCAGCCGAGCCGGTGCGACCCCCACGCGCGAAATCACGCGGCTGGTTCAGCGTGAGGGGAGTGATGGGGGGGACCTGCCCGGCCGGGGAAATGCTGACATGAGGTCGGGGATGCGTCGCGGACAGATCGACGATGAGCCATGGACCGTGAGACTGCGAGTTCCAGGGTGGGGGAGCCAGGCACCCATCGGCGACGAGTGGGCGCCTTGGGGGCCGCTGCTTCCCCCCCTCGCCCAGGGCCAGTCCCCCGGCCCCCCCACTGTCGCTGCCCCTCGCCACTGCGCACTGGCCCCGCCCGAGGGCGCTCGTTTTCCTTCGCGGAGGCGCGAACAGGCGGCGGGGCGGCCCCCCCGCGGGGAACCAGAAGAGAAACTGCCGCGCGCGACGCGCGCGGGCTCGAGCTCTGGCGCGGCGGAGGGCTGGGGGGGGCGGGAGCACCGAGGCGCCGGGGGGCGCTCTCGGCGCCGCGCGAGGCTCTCACCCGCGAGCGCGGGGGCATTGCACGATTCGCGCTCAGGGTGGGCGGCCCCTGGGCGCGCCCACCCGGTCGCGGGGGCAGCTGGGCCAGGACATGCAGGCTCTGCCCTGTATCTGATGGCGCAGCATGCCGCAGGCTCCGCAGGCTCTGTCCCGTCAGGTCTCGGTGAATCAGTACTGCGTGGAAGGCGGCTCCAGCAAGCTAGGACTCGCAGAAGGCACCTGTACACCACCACCACCACCACCACCACCACCACCACCACCACCACCACCGTGCAGGGCCATGGCAATCCTCCCTCCTGGCCCAAGCCAAGATGGTCTACAGACTATCCCACGGACGATGGTAGCTGGTCGGGTTGTACAGGTGCCTTCCGCGGATGGGAGAGCCAAAGAAAATGTCGGACATAAGCTTTCCGCACGTCCTACCGCGCTCTGTACAGGTGCTTCCTGCAACCGTGCCAACCGACAGCACCTCAGCAGGACAAGGGCTGCATGGGCCACGAAGCTGACACGAGAGAAAGTCCAGCCCAACACCTACCGGCAGGGCAGAGAGAGAATAGCACACGGCACCTCCCGCTCCTCCACCGGGGAGGCGACCATCGACCACTTCACCAGTCCCGGCAAGGCTTAATCCTGGGCGCAGGACCAGAGAAGGTGGTCAGTTGACGTCCCCCGAACTCCAGGCACAGCCCTGTCCCTGGTCCCCCAAGCCCAAGCTGATTACCCTCGCTCTTCCCCATCCTGAACACAATCCTTCTCCCCCCAAGACTCGCTCCGCGTCCCCTCCCCATTCTCCCTTCGACACACGCCTGCTCCTCCAATTTCTGCTGTCTTTTCTGTCCTCATGCTCCTCATCGTCCTCATCCTTCTGTCCTGCCCTACCTACCCACCTACCCCTCCTCCACCTCCTGCCTCTTCCCCTTCATGTCGCTCGCACTTCCGATGGCGCAATCGCGCATGTACCTTGATCGGAAAGCAAGCCAGTAGCATCGCGCTGTTAAGCGACGGGATCGGCCTGACACGCTCTGAGGGCCAGCGGGCAATAAAACCTGGGGAGGGGGGACCCCCCTCCCCCCCTTCATCCCTCAGCAGCAGAGCCGAGGTTCAGCCTCTTTTGGAGCT